CATCTAGATGGCAGCTTGCTAGCTTTTAAGATCCCAGTCGCTACTCACGAAAGTAGGAGGTGGAACAATGTTTTGTATAGTATGTTATGCTAATTGAGTTTGATGTCCCCTGTGACCATGGTCCCAGGCCCTCAGGATCAACTACTCAGTTACTGTGGGTAACTGGCTGTGAGCAAGCAGTGACCATAAGCTAGATGGGGCAGTACTCTTGTCAACAACTATTTGAGCGCTGATAGCTCAGATTCCTCCATCTTCTAGTGCTAGAGATAGGGCTCTCTGACTAGCAGCTCCCAAGCAGTTCTAGTCAGTATTTCGTTCAGGATCAGTTTGCATACATACATTGCTTATATGATAAAAGACTCCACACTTGACCATTCTAGTAGTTTTGTGGGTGCCTTGATTGTTTCAGGATTTTCTATGGCTGCAGCTTTAACAGGGTTCAGTCTGTGTGAGAAAGGTAGGTATTTTCTTCTGCTGTGTTACTGCAAGGCCTGTGGCCAGAGAAGAGTCACTGGTATCACAGAATTGTCACGGAATCATAAGACCTCTGTGTGTCTCACATTCCAGCTATCAAGACAATTGGGGTGTTGCTTTTCTGGGACTCCTCAGGGTGGCTCCATAAGCTCCCTGAAATTTGAGGGTCTGGATTCCCACAGAGCCAGGTGTGTGTGCATGAATGGCACCAGATAGCTTCTCCAACTGGACATCCTACTTGCCAAAGCTCTGAGTCCTATGACCTTTGGAAACGCTGCCTTATCTTTGTCAAAGGAACTTCACCCATTGTAATTGCCAACTAATCAACCACCAGCCAGCCAGCATTTGAGGGCCTACCAGGTGGGTGTTTACAGGTACAGTGGTAAGCAGAGCAGACTAGTCGGGCCCATCAAGAGACAAGGAAACAGGCAGTGTTGATACAATGTAACAAATAGTAAGGATAGATTAGTTGGCTTTAGAATTTACATAAGGAGCCCTGGTGGCACAGTGGTTAGCAGCTTGCATGCTAACCACAATGTTGGCAGCTTGAACATACCCACCAGGTCTAAGGGAGATAACCCTGATGATTTGCGCCCGTAAAGATTATAGTCTAGAAAACCCTATGGGGAGTTCCACTCTGTCACATGGGGTCACTGTGAGTCAAAATGGTTTTGATGGCATCTAACAATAACAACAGAATTTATGTATGAGTTAGACCTAGAATGGTAGTCAGGTTGGAAGGAAGAGCTGGCAACTACATTTGCAGAGTACTTTACATAAAATTTAGAAAAGCAATTGAACATATTTAAGAATTGGGGTGGGCTGGGGAAGATGACAAGGGATTTTTAGCTGGGCCCAGGGGCTGCAGTGGGCATTCCTCTCAAGGACATGTGAGTGATTCAGCCTGGTGGAGCCCTGGTTGCTGGAAGTGGGAGATAGGTTGGAGGTTAGTAGGGCCTTATCTAATACCTGGGCACCAGATTGCTCTGAACTAGGGTATGATTGGGTGATACATTGGATGATTCCTAAGCTGCCACAGGAATGTAGAGGAGGGAGCTTTTTTGATGGGTCTGCATCACCAGAGAAGGCACTGGAACTACTAAGTAGGAATAGCTCAGAGAGAGAACTGGAAAGAGTGTTCTAGACAGAGCAAGTGGCATGTGCTAAGGGGTAGAGGTGGGAGTGAAGGTTGTAGTGACAGGAGGAGCTTGGTAAGTTTGCAATTGAAGAACTCTTGTCATTCATGTGTCTATCTTATTCACTGGATCCTTACAGCTGCCAGCCTTCTGGTGCAATGAAGACAGACCATGTTGCCCTGATTACAGCTTGGTTGTTGAGGGGCCTGTGGTATGTTTGGCTGCCTCATCTCTCAGTGTATCTTGGGGTAAGCTTTGAAGTTCTTCAGACAAAGTTCTGTTTATTATGATTGATTCATAGTTGTAGGAGTTGCAGAGATGAAGACCACAGAGATCCCTGCAGGATCAACTACAGAATCCTCACTTCCTGGCCTGATAACGGCCAACAGAGCAGACAAGCTAATTGATAAGTGGATGTCAAGTTTGCCTGAAGACCTATCACTGTCTCCAAAGCATGTGAAGCCCTCAACAGGGGTGAGGTCAACTGGCTTACTGAATGAGGTTCCCTATAGATGATTATTCTAGGAAGAAAGGCTGCACCTTTATCAGTTTTGACCAGGTAGTATAGCTGTTTCTCCTTTGCACAATTTCAGGGCCCTGAAGAGCAGCTGAGTGCTTATGAAGTCCCTTTTCTATAATGTAGGAGTGTCTGTTTCTCAGGTCAGGCTTGATGCAAGACATGAGTCAAATGGGGCCTAGCTGGCTTTGGCTGGTCACTCAGACCCAGACTTCAGGGTCAGCTCTCAAGTTGATTTGAATCATGTGATAGAGACTGGGTATTTCCTCTTTTTTTCTGAACAAATAGCTAGAGGAAATTTCCCAACTTCTCTTGTAATTAGGTGTGACCATATGACCAATTAGTAGTCAGTGGATTGTGGCCTAAAGTGATGTGCCGCACTTCCAGCCCTGGCCTGTGAAAACTTCCCATGTGTTGTCCTTCATGGTTTTTTCCTTTCCATGGGAACCCTGGAAATTGCATGTTGAAGGTGTCAGAGTCACAAGATGTGAGGAATCAGGATCCATGAATCATGTGGAGGAGAAGCACCAACCAGCATGGAAATTCATTTTGGGTTTTTCATGAGTGAGAAATACTTACCTGTTATAGCAGCTAGCACTACCTTCAAAAGTGCCAAAGATGAGTTCTTTAAAAAGGTGGCCTTATTTTTAAACTCTTACACACATTGTCATGGTTTTTGTTAACTTTACTGAGCACTCATTCAGTAAGTATCAGGCCTCTTTGTTTATTGTTGTTGAACAGAATCAGGCCTCTGACAAGCACTCTTTTATTCACCCTCCCATCAACCCTTCAGGTCCATTCTATTATCATCTCCACTTGATAGATGAGAAAATATGCTCAGAGGGGCTAAATAATTTGCCCAAAGTCACGTAGCCAGTAAGTGGCAGAGCCATGATTTGAACTAGGCCAGTATATCTTTGAAATTCTAGTTACGATAATGCAATAGTCACTTCCCTTGTACCTGCTCCCCTCTCCTCACATTGGTGCATGGCTGTTGCTGCCCATACCTCAACAGAACTCTGAAGACCAGGCTCAATCTGGCACAATGAGGGCTGCTTTGTCAGAGTAACAAGATCTCTTAGCCCTGTGGCCTCCACAATCATAGAGGCATGGACTATTGGAGTTGGAAGAACCCATGAACTCTGGAGCCTGACCTCAGTTTACCATTAGGTGAATGGGAGGCCTGTCAATTTGGATCAGCAGTTTGAGCAAATATTCTTTAGGAAAGACTTGTCTGGTGCTCCATATGAGGCTGAGGCTCCCTCCTGTGTCTTCACCCAGCATGAAGCACCCTGAACTTCCCCTTTGAAGAACTTACTACAATTATAGTTTGAATGACTGGGAAGTATTGTGTTTTTCTCTCATTAGCTCTTAGAGAACAGGGACCATATGTGTCTTATGCACTCTAGTCTTCATTCCCCAGCATCCTGAAGTTCATGAATGAATGGAATGCTTTTAGCAAACATTTGAGACCTTGCTGTGAGGCAGTACACTAGGAATAGTCAGGGGCAGCCCTCAATGAGCTTGCAGTTTGATGGGAGAAACAGGAGCATGTGCACATGATTGTTGTGGTATGAAGCAGATGGGAGCTTAGAGGATGGACAGGCTGGATCTGAAGGTTTGGCAGAGGGCAGGACTCAGATGTTTGGCAATGTGAGGGGGAAAGGAGATCTTGGGTAAAGGGAACCACCGCTACAAAGGCAGGGAGAAAAGAAGTAGGCAAGTAAGGGGAGGCTTATGTGGTTCTCTATGTCTGAGTTTAGACCAAAAATGTCACAAGGTGAAGTTAGAAAGCTGTGCCAGGCCTGGGTTTCTAGGACATTGCATGGCAGGGCCAGAGGGCCTGATTTTATCTTTAGGGTCATGGAGAGCCACAAAAAGTTTTTGGACTAGGGCAATGGCATTTCAGATTTGTGTGTACAAAGACACAGAGTAGAAGGTAGACTAGATGAGTTATGGGCTAGCAGTGGGGACACCTTTTCAGGAGACTTCTGTTATTATTTGGTTATTACAGTGATGTTCTGGACCCAGTCCCAGTGGGGGAGAGAGAAGGGGACTAACATGAGAGGCATTAGGAAGGGGCATCCTCAAGTCGGAGTGCTCTTTGCATGGGGGTTGGAGGAAGGATCCAGAGAAGGAAAAGACCCAACATCGCTACCTCTTCTGGATGGCCTGTCTAGTGAACTGGAAGCATTCAGAGGGCATCTTATTCCAGCATGGCTATGCATTGAACTCCTGTAACCTGCTCTTGGTTTTCACAAATGATGGATCATAAGTTGGAGACTGTTTTCATCAAGGAACCTAAGTATCTGGCTTTACATCTTCATTCACAGGGCTGGTGACACAGTTTTCCCTTTTATTAAGGCTTTGGCACATTTATGAGCATCAATTTCAAGTGTATGGAAATGCAGTTATTAAACAAGTATATGTTGTTATGTTGTTATGTGCCGTCGAGTCGGCCCCGACTCATAGCGACCCCTCCTTGGGTTTCCGAGGCAGTATCACTACGGAAGTAGGATTGCCCAACCTTCCTTCCGAGGAGTGGCTGGTGGGTTTGAACCGCCAGCCTTCTGGTTAGCAGTCAAGTGCTTTAGCTACTATGCTACCAGAGCTCCCAAACAAGTATATAGAACATGACTCAGAGATCCTATTTTCTTTCACATTGTGTGGCATAAAGACAAGGCACTTAAAAGTAGTCACTGTCAGTGCAACACTTAAATGGAAGTGGCCAATAAAATTGATACCATGGTATAAAATGTGAAAAACTGAGCTGTTCTCTTTTTAGAGGCCACATCACTCCAGCAGAGTACTGGGCTCTGTGGGCTCAGAGACTACAGGACAGTGGCATCTGCTGCCAGGACCTGTGCCTTCCATAGGGCCAGAGTGTATGGGGAAGAGCGGTCCAGGTGTACTATCCCTAGTAATCCTGACAGGTATTTCTCTTGCCTTCACAGTGTTCTTGCTGATTCACCTTCAGGGCCACTGTCATGTCGAGCCGGGGTGGAAAGAAGAAGTCCACAAAAACCTCACGGTCCGCCAAGGCAGGTGTCATCTTCCCTGTGGGGCGAATGCTGCGGTACATTAAGAAAGGCCACCCCAAGTACAGGATTGGAGTTGGGGCTCCCGTGTACATGGCTGCCGTCCTGGAGTACCTGACAGGTGAGTATGCTCAGTCACCCATGACATCACTGGCTCCAATTGTTGCAGTTCTGGTAGCTTTACAAGGACTGATGTGACCTTTTTTGTTTCTTTTACTTTGAAACATTTTAAAACTATGGAAAAGTTATAAGAATATTAAAATGAGCACTTTGACCAAGATTCACCAGTTATTAACATTTTGCCCTTTTTGCGTTATCTTCTCCTTCCCCTTCCCCATGTGTTACTGTTGTTATGTGCCATCGAGTTGGACCCGACTCATAGCAACCCCTCCTTGGGTTTCCGAGGCAGTATCACTACAGAAGTAGATTGCCCAACCTTCCTTCCAAGGAGTGGCTGGTGGGTTTGAACCGCCAGCCTCCTGGTTAGCAGTCAAGTGCCTTAGGCACTGTGCCACCAGAGCTCCCATTATGTGGGTATGAGGAACCAAAACCAAACTCACTGCCGCTGAGTCGATTCCAACTACTCATAGTGACCCCCTTTGGGTTTCCGAGGCAGTAAGTCTTTACGGAAGTAGATTGCCCGGTCTGCAGAGTGGCCGTGTATGTATATATGTATATGGTATGTATATATGTACGTGTGTGTGTGTATATATATTATATTTAGCTTACATATTATATGATTCATTTTGAAATCTTTTCAGTTGTCCCAGTACTATCTTTTACGGTTTTGTTTGTTTCCTAATTCAGGATCCATTTCTGAATAATACACTGCATTTGGTTGTCTGGTTTCTTTAGTTTTAATTAATCTAGAACAATTCCCTAGCTTTTTATTCCCCCCCAGTCCCAGTCTTTCATGACATTTGGCATTTTTGAAGAGTCCAGGCTAGTTACTTTACGGAATGTCTTTCTACCTGGGTTGTCCCATAGGTAGATTCAGGTTAGACGTTTTCGGCAGGAGAATTGCAGAAGGCATGAGTCTTTCTCTGTGCATCACATCAGGAGGCATGTGATGTCTCTTTTTCCTATTATTGGTGATTTTGGCTGTGGTCATTTGGTTAAGATGGTATCTGCCAGATTCTAAATGTTTTATCCCATAATAATCTTTCACCTGCTGTCTTTAGCATCTTTTGATAATTCTGACCTGAAACTGTTACTACTGTGGTGGTAATGAAAGAGTGATTTGTCCATTTCTGTCATTCTTTCTACATTTATTAGCTAGCACTCTTCTGTAAAGAAGAGCTTTCCCTCTGCCCTACTTTTTTTTTTTTTTTTTTAGGGTCAGTGTTAGCTTATTTGTTTCATTTAGTGGGTTATAATGGTTATAGTTATAATGACTGTCCCTAGTCATTTTGATGCTCAAATTTGTACAGGTTGAGCCCCTTCAAGCAAGTTCTTACGCTCTTTTGTATGTTTTCATCAATTTCTGTGCATTTCCTTGCACAGACACAATAAAATATTCTAGTCTTACATTGGACTTTCCCTGCCACAGCTCAGGAATCAGCTACTCTGCAAGGAGTCCGTGGTTCTTTTTGTTGTTAGGTGCCATTGAGTTGGTTTCAACTCAGAGTGACCTTAGTGCAACAGAATGAGCAATGCCCTGCCCTATGCCATCCTCATAGTTGTTGCCATGCTTGAACCTATCATCACAGCCATTGTGTCAATCTATCTCATTGAGGGTCTTTCCTTTTTTCACTGACCTGCCACTTTACCCATGAAGATACCCTTCTCCAGGGACTGATCCTTTCTGGTAACATGACCAAAGTGGGAGAGATGAAGTCTGGCCATTCTCACTTCTAAGGAACATTGTGGCTGTACTTCTTCCAAGATGGATCTGTTCATTCTTCAAGTGGTCCATGGTACATTCAATATTCTTTGCCAACACCACACTTCAAATGTATTAGTTCTTTTGTGGTCTTCCTTATTCATTGTCCAGCTCTCACATATGCATTATGAGGCTATTAAAAAAAAAAAACATGGCTTGGGTCAGCCGTATCTTAGTTTTCAAAGTAACATCTTTGCTCTTAAACATTTTAAAGAGGTCTTTTGCAGCAGATTTGCTCAGTGCAGTATGTCATTTGATTTCTTGACTGCTGCTTCCATAGACATTGAATGTGAATCCAAGTAAAATGAAATCCTTGACAATTTTAATCTTTTCTTTATTTGTCATATATTGCTTATTGGTCCACTTGTGAGGATTTTTGTTTTCTTTATGATGAAGTGTAATCCATACTGCAGGCTTGGCATCAGTAAAGCATTAAGTAAGTGCTTCAAGTCAGTTTCACTTTCAGCAAGCAAGGTTGTGTCATCTGCATATTTCAGGTTGTTAATGAGTCTTCCTGTAATCCTGTTGCCACATTCTTCATCATATAGTCCATCTTCTTGGATTATTTGTTCAGCATATAGATTGAATAAGAGTTGATGGTTGGTCTTTTTTATAGATAACTTGTTTATACTTAACTCACTGCCCTCGAGTTGGATCCAACTCATAGCGACCCCTCCTTGGGTTTCCAAGGTGGTATCACTGTGGAAGTAGATTGCCCAATCTTCCTTTAGAGGAGTGGCTGGGAGGTTTGAACCTCCAGCCTTCTGGTTAGCAGTCAGATGCCTTAGGCACTATGGTACTGGAACAGCTGGGTAGGGATACCAATCCTATTTTTAGAGATGAGAAATCCAGGTTTCAAAGCATAAAAGGACATGCCTGGGTCACATACAATCACTAAGAAATTGAGAAGGGACCCAGATATTACTTTCTGGTTTTAATGCTCTTACCACCTGTTGCTTGAGGCATGATCAGGATAAGTGTATAGATGGCAGAAGGGAACGCTTGATTCTTGCAGCCACATCTCCTATAGCAAGAAAGGGGAGACCCAGCAAGACAGAGTGTCTCTTCTAAGTTAGGTAGCAGGAGAGCTGGGTAGCATCCTCCTCTTCCAGGTATCTCAACAGGGCAGGGCCAAGGGTTCCCCCATAGTGAACAGTTATGAGAGATGTAAAGTTTTTGTGTTCTGCTGAAAGCATCTAGGTACAAGAAGTAATTGGTGTATTATGGTGACGAGCATCTGCATATATGTTGAGACTTTTGACTATCTGCTTGGCCCCTGTTATTGGTGGCATGCCCATGCAATTCTGGTAGTAGGTACATACCACATTGGATACTCTGTCATCTGGGTGTGCTTCTTCTCACTCTATAGATGAGGACATGGAGACCTAGAATTTAGGTGACACACCCAGGAAAGCCATGCATAGCTTGGCAGTCATCCAGGAAATCCGGGGGAGCAGTCACTGGATAGGAAGCAGAGGACATTCAAGTTCTCACCTGGCAGTTCACATGTTGTGGGATGTAGAGTGAGTCACCCAACTTTCAGGGCCCCAATTTCCTTATTCAGATGGAAACAACAGTTCCTGCTTTATCAACTTCAGGCTGCTATGAGAGCCAAAGGGGCTTTGTTTGCACATAATGTGAAAGCTGATGTGCTGTGCAAATCTAGCCAGCCCATGTTTCCTAGTTCCAGAACACCATGATACCGCTGTCCTTGGGACGTTCACAGGCACTATCATTAGGCCAAGTATAATTTAAGTGTCATTCCTACCATCCAGATTCCTTTTTTGGTTGCAGGGTGTAGGGTATACCATTGCTCCACTGAATCTCAGGCAGTCAAGTTAATGTCTCTGCTATACAAGAGTACTGATGACAAGTGTACCTTTTCCTTGCTATATTTGAGCACCTCAGTAATGCCCAGCCCAATGGCTGTGCCCTAGCTACCTTCCCAGATTGGCCTTTGCTCCTGACTCTTTGGGATCATCCCTAGCAAGCCTCTTAGTCTCCTGTGATAACTGGGCCCTGTAGCTTGAGATGAGCAGCAGTGGGGCTGGAAGCCACTGCCCCTGATGCTAGACGACTGATCCCTAATGTACTGTGGGCTAGAACAAACTCTGGGTTTTAGGAAGTGCTCAGGCCCAACGTATAGCATCTTAAGTCAGACTATGGAAAACACAAAATGGATGTAGTCAGAAGCCCTGGATTTGCACTTTAACTCTGCACTTAGCAGTTTTGTGAATGGAGCAATCTCTAGTACCCTGTGCCTCTAAACTATAGGAGTCTTCTTTCTAAAATGTGTACAAGCCTTTGAGCCCTTGGGGTAGTTGTGTGGATGAATTGACCTAAGTGAGAAAGTGCTTTAAAACTATGCTTTTCCTTACAAGGTCCTCATTTCTACCTCTGGTTGGCTGATTACACTCCAGTGAGAGCCTTGGACTCTTCCTAAGTTTTCCATGTAGATGAGGCTGTGGTCAGTGTGTGTGCTTTGCCATGCCTCACAGGATTTGCTCTACAAGGTTTTCTTTACACATCCTCTGCATCCTCCCAGGCTACATGTCCACTGAGTGGCTGTCCTGTTGGCTATCACAGCATTCTAGAGGGGCTCTGAAAGCTGGCTTTTCCAAGTGGTGGCTGGTCCAGGCTAGGAGCATCACCTCTGTGATGGTTATGTTTGTCTGTCAAGAATATCATCCATGAAGAAAGCTAGAAGGTCATTAAAAAAAAAGAAAGGAAGAAAAGACCAAAGTGGATGTCAGAAGAGACTCTGAAACTTGCCCTTGAGCAGTGAGTAGCTAAAGCAAATGGAAGAAATGACAAGATAAAAGAGCTGAACAGAAGATTTCAAAGAGCAGCTCGAGCAGACAAAACCAATTACTATAAT